TCTTCACCAGCGACAACACGAGTGTTACCCCAGTTGAAGTCGTCCATGTACCAGAACGAGTATAGAGGGAGGCCGAAACTGAAGACGGGGATGGCAAGGATGTACAGAACCATCCATCCAATCATCTCCCACTTGCGACGCAAAATGAAGATGATAGCCTGCAGACCGAAGACGGCAGCGATCAAGATGAAGGCTGTGACAGGCACGACGTCCGGTGACCGGATGACCATGACAATCAGGTAGACGATGTAGGCCATAGTCACAGGTTGCAAGACTGTGCTGAGCAAGTCGACGAAGACGATGAAGCGCATAGAGAAGCAGCAGAAACCGCAGAGCTGGGCCATGGGAATGAGCTCGATGAGGTTGTGCACGGTAGAGTTGATCCAGCGACGACGCTGCGACATGAAGACAGCCCAAGAGTCGGGAGCGATGGTCCAGGCGTGAGCGCGGAAGATGTACTTCGTCTTGTACTTGTTGTGGAATTTGAGGAGGAGTGTGGTGAGGTAACGATCCTCACCCAGATGAAGCAAGTTCTTCATATGAAGAGTGTCAACTCGAATAGTCGCGTAGGCCTCGACAATTTCGCGGCTCACGAACAGAGGCTTGCCCGTCTCAGCGGCGCGAATGCGGTACATGGAGAAACAACCGGGAAGACACGTGACACTGCCAAAAAGACTCTCGAACGCCTTGGTGAGGTTGTGCGAGATCCAGTACTCGTAAACCTGGATCATGGTGATGAAAGATGACTTGGCATTGGTGAGAGCGGTCTCGCCGCAGACAGCGATCAGGCGCGTGTCATCCAAGAAAGCGGACACCATACGTGTAGCGGAATCGGGAGCGACTACCGTGTCGGCATCGATCTGGAACATGAACTCGTAGAATGTAGGGTTGACACCAATGATGTTGCGGATTTGGTGATACATTTCAAGCTCGAGGGGGCTCATGGCCAGGTTGTAGTGGACGCGGTTGAGGAAGCGCATGATAACCATCTGCGAGTCACGCTTGCCACGGTTGCCGGGGCGAGACACCTCGGAGGGCTTGCCGACCTTGACAACGACCAGGAACGGGACGATGTGACCCTGGACCTCGTAAAGACCAGAGTAGACCTTGCCCATGTTGTGCTGCTTGAGACCTTCACCCAGTGACTCGAAGCTGAGGGGTTCAGGGTCGACAGTCTCCGAGACGCCGAGGATGTCGAGTACGATGCGAGGAGTGGACCGGTCGTTGCCCTGGCCAACAATCATGCCGTCGCAGATAACGACAAGGAGCTTGCGTTTGTCATCATAGTGCATCCTGGCGGCTGAGTCGATAGCACGACGCAACGAATCTTCATCCTCAGTGTAGGCGGGAATTTGACACATGATGAACTTGTCGAGATTTTCGGGCATGTTCTTGGTTCCGAATTGCAGGGCGGCGAAGAACTTGAAGGCGATAATAGTGACGAGCATGATGGAAATAGCAAGGACCAAGTATTCGGCAAACTTGCAGCGAACCGAGCTTCGTGTGTCGACATCACCGACGTAGAAGAGATTGTTGAGACAGGTCAGCATCCGGGTCTTGGCTTGCTGGCTAAGGTTGAGCGAGGCCCAGTGTCTGGTAGCGTCTGCACCAGAAAGTTGTCGGAAAAGTCTGATGACATCCTCCTCCATGAAGTCAACAGAGTCTCTAGCAACGCCACTGACGTCCTTGCCGTCTTCTCCTACTGTCCGGCGACCTCCAACCACGTATTCTGTCAAATCGAACACACGGCCGTTCATGCTGACAATCGTCCTCGAGTTGCGCGCCAGAGTCTTCATGTATTTTGGAGAGTATCCAATACGACCCTTGAGGTAGTTTGCCCTAAGCATCGCCATCTGTTGGAAGTACCAATCCTTCCGCGTGTCGTTGGTAAAGTAGCGGAAGTCGTGGAAGTTGGCGTTGATGTCTTGCTGGCTGATCAAAGTGGGCGAGCCAGTCACGTTGGTAGACCTGTAGTCGATCAAAACGGCGGGATCAATAGACCCAGCACGACCCTGGCACAAGGCGCTGACTTGGACGGGGAAAAGAGAGGTAGCATCCTTGCCGGCGTACTCGAGGATATCCTCTGTGGACACGAGGTTGGGGGGATAATGACGGGGTGCGAACTTCTCCAGGTCGAAAACGTAACCGCGGATCGAGACGTAGGCACCAGGGCTCCCACTGCTCCCGTCGTACGCCGAGAGTTCGGCAGCGCTGTAGACATGCTGACGAGGACAGATGAGCATGGGGAACACAACGATGAAAAAGGCAGCTAGGAGACAAGACAGCCAAATGATCAGGTTGATCGCCAGCTTCTCTCGCCAGGCCATGCGGACGTCCTTGCGAGGCATGCGGCCGATGAAGCGGATCAGGAAGTCGGGAATGAACCAAGTCAGGAGATAGACCATGAAGAGCCAGCGCTTGCGGCTGGCACTGTCCCTGTATTCTTCGACCTCCACGAGACTCTTCTCGTTGCCACGCTCGGCCATCTGCTCTCGAGTGTCAAAGTTCTTGAACATGTCTCCGCCGCCGAAGGCTGAAACACCAGCTTCCGAGCGGGAGTCAGATCCATCGTTCGCACCAAAGTAGCCGTTCTTGCCCTTTTCGCCGTACATGAGTGGCGTGTTGCCTGTAGACAGCAAACGCTCCTTTGAGGCAGCAAACGGGTCGGCGGGCGAGGCGCCGTGGGGTGTGAGGCCGTCGCCTCCGTCCGATGGCAGGCCAAACCTGCCATGTGCCGAGGAGGCTTCAGAGAGGTGGGCAATCTCCATCCAGCAGCGCTCACTGACGAACACGCCAGTGGAGCCGATGCGGACTTCGTTGCTGGGCCAGCGCTTGTCCTCGACAACCATTTCAACCCTCTCTCTCTCACTTCCCATGAGGATCGTTTCGGCGTCCGCGAGACCCAAAAACTCTCCGAATGGAAGGAAAAGACTAAAGTCGGCGGACCGCAGCCTCTGGCTGATTTCGGCGATGCCGAACGTTTGCACCTGCGTCCTAACGCATTTACTGTCGAACTGGCTTGCGATGCGGCGGTCATTGGGCTTCAGGCAGAACACAAAGTATGAGTTCGTGCTTGGGTCGGCCACAGCCTTCGTGACGTTATCGAGAGCTGCAAGGAACTGTCCAGAGGCACCTTGCTCAGACGCCGCGGCCTTGGCTGCTCCGCCGGCCTGCGAGTTGTTCTCGCTGAGTTTCTCGAGCTCCTCTTCGGCAGCCTTCTGCTGCAGAACACGCTGGTTGCGGGCCGTGCGGGCCGTCTTTCTCGACATGACACTTGGTGTCCTCATGGGCTTCGAGCTAATGGTCGCCTGCATGACAGTTGAACGCTCCTTGGGGTGAGTGACGGTCTGGAGAGCGTCCTGACCAAACAGGCGGGCAACGAATTCACTCTTTGTCGAGTTGATCATGTTGAGCAGATCGCCCGAAATGACCTCGCCATTCTCCTCGATCAGGCCCTTGACCTGATAATCGACCTCACCAGCGAAGTGCTTCACCGTGAAGATGGGGGCCGAGTTTTCTGTGAGGAAGTTACTGCCGGGAAGCTTGGCAGTCGACGACCCGGCCGTGATGGCAGGGTTCTTCCCCTCGAAACGCTTTCGCATGCTTTCAAGGAACTGGATGTCAGTACGGTGACGACGACTCTGGTCATCCAGGATGCTGAGGAGACCGTTCCCAGGCTTCAAGAGTCCGCGGACAGCATCAGAGTTGTCGAAGTAACTGGTCGCAGCAACGCTAACCTCTTCGTTCTCCAGCATATCGGCTTTGCGGTCGAAGAAATTCTGGAGAGTAAGGTTGTACAGGGCCTCGGTAGCGGAGTTGTTGAGCAGCTGGTCGAGGGCCGACTTGGTTGAGGCTTGCTGTTCGAAGCCAGGGAAATCAATGATGGAAACGGTGTTGGCCACGGCATCGTCAGCAGCGCACAGGCGTTGATTGATGCTCTCAATGATGTAGGTCACCAGCAGAGAATAAATGGTCCGGGCAAGCTCGTTCGCGTGGGAGCGAGCGCCGTTCGGGTCCAGCATGACGGTGACACGCTCCTTGTGAATCATCTTCGTCTTGTAGGAAAGTGTGTTCTGCAGATCTTGGGCGTTGACGCCAAGGAAGGCAGCGATGATAGCCAGGACATCTTTGTTCTTGGCTGCGGTGACGACTGTAGCACCCTCGTGGGAGAAACCACCGCTGTCGTCACCGGTGACCTGAGTGTTGGCGGATGACTCAAACTCTAGCTGACCGATGTGAAGAACGCTAGCGAGGATCTGGCAGATCTCGGCAATCTCGCTACGGGGAAACTCAAGCTTCTTGAGCGCGTTCTTGAAAACCTGGAAGCCTCGGCATCATGATGCCGACCTTGAGCTGGGTCGGATGACCCAGATACTTCCATCGCCTCTGCTGCACGCTGGAATCCTCCAAGCCCAAGTGAGTCTTTTCAGCCGGGCTGGTGCCGGCCAGGAGATAGTAAAGAACATGAAAGTTTCGCTCGCCCGTTGGGACGTCTGCGATCCGAGACCTCTCCAGTCGATGATCTAGAAGCTTGCCGCCGATCAGAACAGGGTTCGTGGTCGAGGCGGTATCGTACTGGAGCTCGTAGAAGAGGCCAGCCTTGGAGGCGGTCGGCGTCGTCGCGGTTTTGGTTGTGGTCAGGGTGTCGAAGACGTAGGCAGCCAGTGACACTTTGGTGGAGAGAGGAGTCGAGGATTTGTTGAGCAGCGAAGCAAGTAGGTGGGAGCGAAGCGTAGACTTTCCTGAGCCCGACTCGCCACTATATAGAACAGAATTAGCAATTGACGGGTTACAGGAGAGCGAGGGAGAGCATTGCATACAGGAAGACAACAGCCTGGTTTTCGGAACGGTGACCCAGCCTGAGCCAGGCGCGTTCAGCCATCTCCTCGGCGCCAGCCATGGCACTCCCCTCCTTGCCGCCGTCGGGGCCCTTAGAGGAAGAGGTGTATGTGTTGAGAGAGATCAAGGCATGGGAGGACAGCTGAGCAGTCGGCAGCGACAGGTGGAAGCGGCTCGCGAGGTGTGCCGTCAAATGCGTATCGGACTGGAGATGTGCTGGGAGTGCTGGCAGCGAAGGTTGCGTGTGAGCCCCGCCGCTGCCTGCCAGGGGAGGCAGGTTCATGGCCATGAATGGCAGGGTGCCTGCGGGACTTGAAGCGGACGGGTGGTGTGCTTGGGTGCGTAGCTGTCGAAGGCGAGTAGAACAGGACGTTGAGTTGATATCGTTGTGCTCGGGTCGTTGCAGCAGGTCGATGGGACGCTGTTAGA